TTAAACTACAGTAAACATATTTAATGTTATAAACATATCCATGAATTTTTTTTATATTTCACTTTTTCTTTCACACAAGTACAATGAAATAGTTTTTTTATCAATGTCATTGCCTAGATTAGATGGATTTTAAATACTTATTTCAAACTTATAAAATAAATTTTACAGTTTCCATTTAGTTAGTTAATTTCCTTGAAAACTTATGATTTACATTATATAACATTACTTTTCAAAAATTATTATTTATAATTTTTTCTCCACTCTCCGTTTTCTTCTACAACTTTCTATATTAGTTATTGTTTTTTTTTTCTGAAATTATCCGCTTTACAACGATATATTGTACATATATAGCTTCTGATTACTATTTCCAGAGATTGATTTTCTACCTTGATAAGCATTTTTTTTTCCTTTATTCAATTAACAAATTCTTTCAAAATTCTTTCAAAATTCAAAAGTTTTATTTTTCGTAACTCTTAATAATGTGAGATACCTAATTATTTAAAAGAAACCATATTAAAGGGGGTAAGATCTAATTGTTATTAAAGACCACTTAATTATACAATTATATACGGAGTTTAATCATAATTGTTGGAGCCATTTTTGAGAAAATTTTAAAAATGTGATTCAACGTTGATATAAAGTCGCACTTCAGGTTACCCGATTTTAAGGGAAAAGTTGCTGTCACATGTAAAGCATATAAATATCTTAAATACGTAATATCATTTTCGTCCGAGTTTTCGTTTTTGAGCTAAACTGTTAACATACACACAAAAACACAGACCATTTTGCGGGACTTGGTTATTTGGACACAGGATACCTCAAAACGCGTATTTCCGTTGAAAACTCAGATTCGAAAATTTTTGCGATCTCAATACTTTCCCTTACCATATATTACATATATAGGCAAGTGATAATAAAAATATTATTTTTCTACCTTCTGTTTGAGTATTATTTAGTTGTTATTAGGTAAACATGATTAAAATAAAAAAAAATAAAAAAATATTGCCTTTCCTTTCCTTTCACTTACTGTCGTTTAATCACCCAAAATAAATAAAAATGGAACGTTATACCATAGTTTAAGTTTCAAAACTCCTGACATTTGCTTGGATTGTAAATGTCCTACTAGAACACGGCGCGAAAGCATACTAAGCCTGTATAACTGGAAGGAATTGCGGGATCTGTAGCATGATTCTCCTTGGTAATTGTATGTTTTAGTGACGTAAATATCGAAACATCTTTTCAATCAACTTCTTTTCAGATCAACATTTTATCAGAAATAGCCTTGAAGAATAATTCCAAAAGGACCCCAATGCTATTAAAAATTTAGTATTGTTCCTTAGGGAAACAAAATATTTCACAAAATTTAATCACTATGTCATTTAATTTTTCTTCGTTTAATAATAATTTTTAATTATAATAGTTTTTTTTCGTCTTCAATTTTTCATCCGCACCTGTCATGGTAGTGGCAATCAGCAGATTGGTGGTCATGTAGAAAATGGCATGACAGGCATGACGATGAATGGAACCCAGCAGCACCTCTTCCCTGGTCTGTTTACATCCTAAAATCAGGAAAGGAGATCTCTCATCCAGCTCCTTTTCAGTCGCCTCCTGATGAGCATTTCAGCCGTGGCCATATCATTGATAAGTCCATTGTGATGTCCGTGTAGTTTAGAATGAAATCGGGAGTAGAGAGTACGTATGTGCTGGTCAATGGTTGGTTGTCTTAGGTCGGTATGTAAAGTCTTGTTGTTGACGTGCCAGGGAGCGCAAGTTATTAGTCTTAAAAATTTTTATTGAAAGGATTGTAGTTTTTGTAAATGAGTCTTTTTTGCTGAACCGTAAATCTGTGAGGCGTATGTCCAAATGGGTTTAGCAGGTAAGTGTATGTATTTAGTGCTACGTATCAAAAGGGATTTTGATAGATTTTTTATATAAAAGGATGCCACTGGATGATTATTGATGATAATTATCCAGAATTAATTAATTAAATATTAGTTAAACAAATTATGTCATTTGACATATTGGTCCATGATTATTGGATTACTTCTCACAAAGGCTTGTTGTGTGTTTATCTGTTCTCTAATTACCAAACATTACCTGTGCTTATAATGAAAGAAAAAGGTGGCACGATTAAAATAACTTTTATGTACAAATTATATTTATTTACAAGTGATATGAGAAAGAATTTGTATATACATTCTATTTACAAAATTTAATGAACCAAACAATTGGTTGTGAAGGCATGATTCAGATGGATGGAATTTAAAATTACATTGCCATTAAATATTTAAACATCTTTACAGGAATTATTGGGAATTACTTATCTAATATGTTATTTGAAGTGGTGTATGGCATGGCTGCATCTGCGAAGTCATGGGTAATGTTTCAGTCCTCCAGCTAGAAGAAAACATCAGGGACCTCCTCAGGGCCGGGCAGCTACATCAGGCCTCTCTTCTATCAGCCTCTCCTCATCCAGCTGTCCTCAGCTGAGTCCCATAAAGAAGTGCCTTAGTCCAAGTTCTATATTTTCACCTTTCTTTATCCCCTCTCTTTTGGTAGGGGCAAGAATTGTTCCCATTGGTTCAATTTTTGTAGCAGAAGGGATGACCACACCCCCAGCGATATGTTGAACACACCCTTTTTAGCAGGTACACGACCGTTTCTTCCTATGCTTAAGAGTTAAAAGCTTTTTGATCCTCTTTAAACATAAGACTGGTCCTTTGGTGTTTTTGGCCGACATGTGTCGTCAAGTACTTCTATTGCTAGTGGGTGTGCTAAGAATATTCTCAAGAGTGCTAAAAGGTTACCTCAGGGGATTATCAGGTATCCCGACCACTATCTAAGTAACCACTTACAAAAGGTTGGGTCGGGGGTTTCAGGTACCCGCCCAGGTGTTAGAAATTATTTTTAAATATTATTAATTACCATTAGGCTAAGTTCAATACATAACATTAGTTTTTGTCTAATTTTCAATTTTGATTTAGAAAACAGGGAGTATAATATTTTCAGTCTCTTGTTCAATTTCTTTCTTTTCATTTTGACGTGAGGGCCCCAGGTCATCTTCTGTCGAATATTAGTCCGAGGTAGCGTATAGTGTCCGTCTGAAGAATTGGATTGTTGCTGATATAAACTGGTGGGAATGTTTCTCGTCGAAGCGTAAATGTTATGTGTTGTGATTTGTTGTAATTTAATCTAATTTTCCAAAGTGAATACCAATTTTGTAAATTTAGTAAGTGATTTTGTAAATTTAATGAGGCTAGTCTGGGGTCGTGTTGTTTTGTTAAAATTGTTGTATCGTCAGCGTAAGTAGCAGTCAATGTTTCAGAGGTGGTAGGCATGTCATGCGTATAGACAATGTAGAGTAAAGGTGCCAATATTGATCCTTGAGGCACTCCTGCTGATATTGGTCGAATTGAGGAAATTTCTAAACCCTGTCGGACAGAGAAGAATCTGTCGAAAAGGAAAGACTGAAGAATGAGATAGTATGTATTAGGCAAGATAGATTTGAGTTTAAAGAGAAGTCCCTGGTGCCAGACTTTATCAAATGCCTGGGCAACATCCAGAAATACGCCGGTAGCATATTGTTTTTGCTCTAGCGCTCCAGCAATGTAGTCAGTAACTCTGTGTAATTGGTGTGTAGTTGAATGAAATGTACGAAAACCGAATTGATGGTCAGGTATTATTTGTTGGTCTGTCAGTATGTCAACCAGTCTTTTGTATATTAATTTTTCGAAAACTTTGGAACATATCGGAAGGAGACTGATAGGTCGGTAGGATGAGGGATTGAAAATGTCTTTGTCCCTTTTGTGTATCATCTTGATATGTGAATATTTCCATTGTAATGGGAAGTTAGTTGTCCTCAGAATACAGTTGTATATTGTCGTAAGGAACACTAGAGCTTTCCTAGGCATTTGCTGGAGCCCCTCGGCAGTTATTAAGTCATAACCTGGAGCTTTTCTTTTAGGGAGATGTCTGATTTGTTGTGCGACTTGTGAAGGAGTGAACGAAAGAGGGGGAGGTGTCATCTGTAATGGTATGTCTAGAGTATCAAATACTAAGGTTTCATGTTCTGTGTTAGTGAAGTCAGTAAATGGTGTGAATACTGATGAGAGATGGTCTGCAAATAGTTCAGATTTTTCTCTATCCGACAAAGCCCATGAACCGTCTTCGTTTCGCAGGGGTACTGACACCTCTCGATGTTTTAACAAATTTTTGGTATGCTTCCACAAACTTCCATCGTCAGTTGATAAACTGCTCAAATGAGCATCATAATTGGTTCTATTGAATTTTTGTATTAGTCATTTAAGTTCGTTATTCAGTCTGTTAAATGTCCGTCTATCTGAAGGAAGTCTGTTAGTCTGCCATACCTTACGTGCTCTCCTCTTTGCCGTGATCAAGTCCCTTATATATTGAGGATATCTTGGCAAGTGTTCTGCTCTTGATGACGTTGGTAGAAATGAAGACCAAGCTGCTTTTTGGCCACATTTTGTAAATTTGTCCACTGCTTCTTCTAGTTCATCTGCTGTTTTAATGGAGCCAGGGATTGAAAGTTCTGAATCCAGAATTGCCCTGTAAGCATCCCAATCCATTTTACCATTCAGGAGCTTAGGTGTTCGTGGGAGATTGATGGGCTCATCAAGGATAACCAAATGTATAAGGGAATGGTCAGAGCAAAGATCAGAGCTCGTATTTATGGTGTAAGGTATGGTGCGCAGTCCTTTAGTTATAAAAAAGTCTAGTAGGTCTGGGGATTTACGTTGTGAAGTCGGCCAATATGTCGGTGTATCAGGTGATATAGTGTCTAATGAAAGCTCGTGGATAGCAGCCCTCAGATTTCTACCTCTTGGTGTGCACAGCCGTGACCCCCAAAATTGGTGCTTTGCGTTAAAGTCACCGCCTACTATAAAGCAACGCCCAAGGCTTCGAAAATAATTGCAAAACATCGAAGGTGTTAATACGTACCTCGGAGGACAATATACTGAGGCAATTGTTATTGTGTGATGTTTGGTACGTAGTGTTAAGCCTGTGGTTTGAATGTCAGGTGTAGTAGGTAAGTTTAATAGTTTTTAAATGTTTAATATTTAAATTGTTCTTTTTAACTTTTCTTCTTTTAATTTAGATTATTTTCCTACGTATTTTTAGATTATATTCCTGAAATCATTAACATTTTATTTAAATGACCTTGTTAACTGTTAACTTGTCTTTTTCTAATCTTTCCTATTTAATTTAAACGGTTCTTGTACTTTTTAATATTTAAACTGTATTTTTAACTTCGCTTCTATTATTATTTATTATGTTATTATTTAAAAATGTATTTTTAGCTTTTGGTCTTAAAATCGTTAACCTTTATTTTTATTATTTTTGTTAACTTAACTCCTTTTAAATCTTTAACTTCTAATTTTTCTAACTATCATTAATTCAATTGAACTATCATATTCATCTGAAACTATTCTAAACTTTATATTGTATTTGTCAGCTGCAGTTTTGTTATGTGTGAAGTAATTGATCAGATTGTAATATAAGGTGAAAATGACTCAGGTGGTTGAAGAGCCCAAAACATTTATAAATAAATAGATAAATATCGAAAAAAATCTCCCGATACATTACTTATATATTATTTATAACAAAAAAAAGTGCGAATTTATTAACACTTTTCATTAAAGAAATATTACTAGCAACTAGAAAAAAAAGTTTAAACCTAATTCACAATTATTAACGACAGAATAAAGTAAATGTATAATAAATTATTAATAGAAACACTACATTCCTAACAGCGCCGGAACTATATACGCAGACAATGCAGCAATTCTATATAGACATAAAAATCCTACACACGCCTCGCAGACTTTATATCATCTAAAATTTATTATTGGTACAAACTTTGGATAATTCGACTCAACTAAGACAAATCACAACACATTACTTCCACACATCGACATGAAACATGCCTTCCTATTTACCTTGACAATGCTAAAATTCCTCAAACAGATAAAATACAAATATCTCGAATTGACATTCGACAGAAGAATGACATGGGGGCCACATATCAATAAAATAAAAAAAACGTTAAATCTCAGACTACGACTGTTATACTCAATTCTCTCAAGATGCTCAAAATCAAACTCGAAACAAAAATTGAACACTTATATTTATCTACTTAGGTCCTTATGGTCCTACGCTTCACAAATTTACGGAACGGCCAAAACGGCCCATAAAGTACAAACTTTTCATTGAAAAGTTTTCAGAACTGCAAGTACAGCTCCATGGTACGTTACAAACATCACATTACATAAAGACTTTCAAATGCCAACAGTTAACGACCACATACAGACACACTGAAAAAGATTCATACTACATACATGGATATACTAACATACTCACACAAGATATGGCCACATTTTACATTCCCGAAAACAAACTGAGGGACCCCTAAAGAAGCTGAACTTCTAGCTTAAAAATTCAAATATAGGATACAATTCAAATATAGGATATAATTCAAATATAGGATACAATTCAAATATAGGATATAATTCAAATATAGGATACAACTCAAATTAAGATAGGAAGGGATGCCACTTGGACACCTTCACGCCGTCCGACGCCACTACAAGTACTCTTGCCGACAGCAGACGGCTCATATTGCAGCACATGCAACTCCTGATTTTGCATTGCATTGTTAACCAGGAGAATTAATGGTGACTGCTGCATTACGTTGGTCACTGATTCATGTAAATCTGAAGCAACATCATTCATATGTTCGTTGGCATTAACAACAGCTGCTGAGGGAGTGCGAGTATTACATGGAGCTTGTCGTTTGTCAAATCCGAGGGACATTGGTGTAATTAGCGAAGCTTACTCATTCTATATTTAAAAAAAAAATTGTACTAACTAAACTCCCCCCACAACACTCCACAAAATCCCCACCAGCACACCATCCCCATTACAACATACTCCTAAAAACTCCACAGCACCTCCCAAAAACCATACATATCACCACCCCACCATCCTTCAAACAAAAACCAACCAACCATCCCAAACCCCCATACACACCACCCACCCCCACACCACCCATTATACCCCTCTCCACCCCACTCCAACCCCCCAATACTCTCCACCCCTCTGCCAATACTCCCACACCACTCACACACCCAACTTCAACCCTCATCCCCCAACAAAACCTCACACACCTTTCGAACCAACCAAACACAAACCCCATGCCACAACTACAATACCAAGACCCCAAACCCATCAAACCCAACCCTAACCTAGTCACTGACTTCCTCCCACCAACCGCCAGTACCGCCACCCTCTCCACCGCCCTCCTACCAGTCCAACAACAAAAACACCACATCCTACCACACACAAGAACAAACACACCTCTCCCACTCCACACTAGTACACCGCCCCACCCAAAACAAACTATCACCACGCCCAACAGTACAGCCCCTGGCAACACTCATACCATCCCCATAAACCCGCACAACCCAAAACGACATTATACAATCGAACCAATTTACAAATTACCTTTATAAGCAGGATCCTATCTGATCAGGCCCTTTAATCAGACTACAGACAACACTAATTTATGCCAATGTTGATTTATCTACTGATTGTTTGATATTCTTTGGCTATTATGTATTATTTTTCCTGATTTTCCATAAAAAATAAAATAAATATAAAAATATATCCAATTAGATATTATTTAGATATCGAAGCTGCCTCGGAAGTGAAAACAATGCATTACACGATATTGAATTTTTTTTTCATATACCTCTTGACTTCTCGTTAGACTTTTCTCATAAGTCTTCAAGCAACTTTGTGATGTATAAGCGAAAGTTGTTTTTCCGGGTTTAGTTCCCTTGAAGATATTTAGGGAGCAAGTTCCTTACATACGAGATCACAATCACTCCCTCTTCAGCAGGCACATCCATAAAGGATCAGTGCTTTGCTACTCTTTGCAGAAATCTTCACCATACTTGATGTACCTCCTGTGGTCATCGAACCTGTCCTTTGGTATAGACGAGGGCACGTCGCACATTGGGACGAGTAAGGGAAAACTCGCGACATTTGAATGTATCCTAATCTTCATTTTTTTTTTTTAAGAACTCCAAAAACTTTATAAACTGTTTTATTGATACCTTGTGTTGTTGGTGGATTTTCCGAGAGTCGTTTTAGTAGGCACAATATAAACTTTTCAATGTTTTTATTCAATAATTCAATATAAAAAAAAAAAAATGATTTAGCCGGTGTCCGGAATTTTCCCTGACTCCTCCCACTGTGCATAACTTATATTTGTGCATTTTAGTACATTTTGCATTCTCGGCAGTACATTTCACGGTCATATATTTGCGATTACATAGCTGAATATTTGTGTACAGCGATCGATTTTATAACAGAGATCATATATGCCAGAATGAGTGAGATGCAGAAAGTTGTTCCTACACAATATAACTATAAGAAGGCTGTTTGGAACTTACACTGCAGTCATATATAACTAAATTTACCAGCAGTGTCTAAATTAACATATAACTAAATTTACCTCATCTTCGTACAAAATATGACATTTATACCGAGATGACCTTCTTATAAAAGCTATAAATTTTAATGTGATGGTTATAAACTAAAGTACAAATTTCCTTAAGACATAAAAATAAAAATCTTCTGGGAGGTGTTTAAGATCAACTTCAAGAGTAAATTTCGTCCTCTTTCTTATTGTATTTATTGAAAATATCTTTTTCCTTGAACGGCCATTTCTATCTTTCAAGGAGAAAACTTCTTATTAAGATAACATTTACTGCAGAAAAATTTATCGACTCATATTTTATAGAAATTTCTATGTTTATATAGTGAAATGTGTGTACATCAGTGTTTGTCAGATGAACCTGTATTAAGTATAATTTGCATTGTCCGTGCCCTCTCTGTAGAGAAATCTGTCAGTTTGTAGATTATATTTTTACCTTCGCTTACATATATATAAGTAATAAATATTAAGGGTATTGCGATCGTTAAAATTTCTCTCAGTTTTCAATGGAAATACACGTTTTGACCTTTGTCCTCATTATATAATACTTATTTGGAAGCCTATACCAAACATGAAAATACCGATGTTCGCTTCTCTTCCAGTAACACCAAACCATATTCTATAAATTATTTTGCAAAGGAATACGTGGAAAAATAGATGGTTCCTTAAGAGAGATCAAGAGGCTAAGTCGGTTATGAATCCTTATTTTTTTTTTTTTTTTGTCCTCCCCTTCCTCGCCTTTAAGGCTATATGGGGTTTCCCCGGGCAATTTGATACAGATTTGGAAAATAAATGTTTCGCAAGACGAACTTATAAATGTTTTTGGAAAATTTTTGGAAAATCGTGGAGAGTGTTACGGGAGAATCTACTATTGCCAAACTTCATGAGAATGATATGCTATTAAATTCCAATGAACAAGCTAAGATGTTAGCAGAATATTACTGTGAAGCTGCTGTATTTAAAAGGGAACAGCGAAACTTGGTTTCGATTTAAGGTTAGAGAAGCAAAATAACTGTTTTTTTCCTTCTAAAAACAATTAAAAACGATACTCTGCAGGAATAATGAAAACCTTGCACCAGAAAATGATGGAGCTCAAAATGTATTGCTAAAAAAATTACCAACAATAGGTACAATGTATTTGATTGGCCTCTTCAATTCTTTTCTAATACTCCGCTACCCGATGAATTATTTTCACTGTTAAAACCAGCAAAAAGTGGAGATAACACAGCTCATTATCGGCCAGTAAGCTTTTTAACGCTCATGGCAAAATCATTCAAAAAAAATTTTTTTTTTTAAACTTTTATTATGATATTTACAACTGTATAAATACATTAAGTAAATTTGTACAGAGAAATATTATTACATGAAACACGCTTGTTGAGAAACTACCCACTGGTAGCACTCTAATAATTTGTCTACATGAGAAGATCACGAGGCCATCTTCTTTTCAGACGCCTCGGAGGGTTATCAGGAATCGAAGAGGAAGCAAGGTTAGAAACAAGAGGATTCGGATGGTTATGAAGTTTATTATGAAAGGATAGGTATCTGGATTTGGCAAAATCGGAAACATATGGAACATTGAGGTCTTTATGGATTATTTTATTAGTGACAAAGTAAGGAGCATTGAGGATTTTACGAAGGATTTTTGATTGTTAGGATTGGATGCGAGAGGAATTCGATGGTTTAGTGGAGCCCCATAGCTCAACTCCGTAAGTCCAAATAGGTCTTATTATAGTCAAGTATATGAGTCTTTTGTAATTAAGGAGAAGTTTAGAGCGTTTGTCTAGTAAGTGTTGGAGTAGTCGGAAACGTCGAGCGGTTTCTTGTCGTTTCAGTCTGGTATGAGGATTCCAAGTTAGACGTTTGTCCAAGTGAAGTCCAAGGTATCGGATTTGTTCAACAGGGATAAGTGGGGTATTATTAAAGGATACTGTGGGATATGAGGTCATAGGTTTACGTCGAAGGGTAAAGGTGATTTGATGTGATTTATTAGAATTTATTTTAATCCTCCAGTTTTGACACCATTCTTCAAGGCTTGTGATGTGTGATTGAAGAGTTTGGGATGCAATGGTTGGGTCATTATTAACGGATAGGACACATGTATCATCGGCATACGTGGTAATAACAGTGTTAGGATGGGTTGGGATGTCAGCTGTATAAACTGTGTAAAGGATAGGACCAAGGATACTACCTTGAGGAACTCCGGCAGATTGAGAAAAGAGGGATGAATAGGTATTATTGTGATTTACTTTGAAGTGCCTATCAGTAAGATAGGAACTGATGATAAGAAAATATGTAGGGGGAAGGAATTTACGGAGTTTGTAAAGCAATCCCGGATGCCAGACTCGATCAAACGCCTGTTCAACGTCGAGAAAAACTCCAGTGCAATACATTCCGCGCTCCAATGCAGAGGAGACGACGTCTACCACACGATGACATTGCTGGATAGTGGAATGGGATGTGCGGAATCCAAATTGGTGATCAGGGATTATGTGGTTAGAATCTAGGATGGGATACAGGCGTTTTATGATGAGCTTCTCCAGGATTTTGCCCATGATGGGTAAAAGAGAGATAGGACGGTAAGAGGATGGGTATTCTGGTGGCTTTTTGGGTTTATGTATCATTTTGACTACATATAAATTTATTCAAAAATAAAATTTTGAACTTTCTAAGACGATTTTGTACACAAAACATCTGCACGACCACAATATGCCTAGTTCTGCTGTACGGCTCTTCACTTTTCGAGCATATCAGCAAAACGGTTGGAAAGAGATAGCAATATTTTAAAAATGGGTCGGAAAAAATATTAAAATTAAATTTTAAATTTAGATGTAAGAGTTAAAGCATAAAGACAACTCAAGCCTGAGGTCAACCAGCCAACCAATATATATCAGATTTAGACTAATTTCGCAGAAATGCAGAATTGAAGCACAATACACCTTACAATGCTTTTTAGCTGTGAAAGATTTATTATTTGTGCAAAAAATTATCAGAATTAAAAATAAAGATTTTTTTTTTACTTCCACATCTGTAATAAGCTAGTAAATAATTAGATTTGATATTAGTCAAAGATGAAGTAAAAGAGGCTATTTAAAAAAACGAACTAAAAATTAATATTTAATAGTGATACCTATTCTATAACATTAGGCTGATGCTTACTGCTCAGAATCTAAACATAGTTTACTATTTGATGACATGAAAAAAAAGACTTATCATCGATTTGTTATAATGAATTGTTGACAACAGTGCTGCATTATTATGCGCAATAAAATAAGTCCCTTTAACCCATTACGGTTTAGGCTGACGCTCAATCGATTCTGAGTGTGATCCAAGAGTTTCTTCTGACACAATAGTCATTCATCTACGGCTGATAAATTAGGAAAAAATACTATATTTAAGCAGTAATTTAATCTATGCTCACTATATTATTCATATATTGACAAGATCTTCCATCAGGTCTGTCTCAGCAGGAGTGCTTCAAGGTTCAGTACTCGCTCCACTACTCTATATCACATACACCCATGACATACCTTGTAGTCATAATATTTTAACAGCGACATATGCAGACGACACAGTAATTTTAGCGATACACAAAAATCCAACATACACCTCATAGACCCTACAAGAGTATTTAACAAGATTACATGGCTGGTACAAAATTTGGAAAATCCGACTAAACCAAGACAAATCACAGCACATCACATTTACGCTTCGACATGAAACATGCCCTCCAGTTTTCCTTGACAATACACAGATTCCATAGACATACACTGTTCACTACTTTGGTCTGACATTTGACAGAAAAATGACGTGGGGCCCACATATAATCAAAAAACGAAAAACGTTAAATCAAAGATTAAGAATTCTGAGTTCACTTCTTTCGATAAATTCAAAACTAAAATTTAGACAAAAATTGAACACATACAATTACTTACTAAAACCTATTTGGACTTAGGCATCACAGATATTTGGAACTGCTAAAAAGACTCGCTTAAACAAACTTCAAGCAAA